AGATGCTTTAACCATGGAAGAAGAAATATTCCTGGCTGTTTACTGATGACTGTATAAATATCAACGTGGCACTTAACCTCTGCCACGTACGTGCATGCGGCCGCTAGATGGTATTAAGACATTTCTATGCAAATATTTCCGAGAATAACATGGAACATAAAGCTTTACCAGCGCTTTCCTTGGGAACTATAGCTTTACCCAAATCTGTCGAACAACTGGTTTCAGTTAGTATCTCAAAGTATCCGTCCACAAACAGGTTAGGAGTGAAGAGAAATTCAGTTAACTCTTCACGAGACCATCGTGACATGGAACTGAGGGAGTTCTAACGGTGTACGTCTATAGGAATGAGCTCCTTTTTGATCGTCCTTAACTAATTCACATTCTCCAAAATGAGGAATAAGATTGATGATACATCGAGACCGACTCAAAACCATTCCGCAATCTGATTCATTTGGATTCTCGTCAAGGTGCCTTCACATCCGCCGTGTCACCCGATTTCTATGCGTTCACCACCATGCACCGCGGCTTCTCAAATCACCTTGTCTGCAAATTGACTAATTTAATGTTTGATTGGTTTTTGTTCGCTGTATTTGGGATGACTCGGCTTGACTTAACAATCAATGAAGCCCAGTTAGGTTGCCACTGGAATAGTGTTTTACATCGAAAAATCTAGGCTTCTTTCCATTCTCTGGATGATAGCCGCTAGTACTGATGATAACAACTGATCATATTTCAAGCTATCGTACGTTACCTGATCATATTTTCTTTCAGACGGACGCTAAAGTAGGTTTGTCATATGCTTTTTCCTTGCTACAGCGGATTTTCTGTCAATACGGTAGGCATGCTTTCTCCTCGTTACATAGTTTGGACACTTGAACGATAGACTAGACGGATTTTCATGTTGTGTTATATAAGTTACATATACAAGAGGATAAACCTCTCACTTGTCTGTGGTACCACTTGCATTCAATCCGTCAACTTACCGCCTCTCACGGAGAAAGTGTCAGCGTTATTCTTGGTAATCTGTTGCACGGTTTTGTACAGCGGTTCGTACAGTTAGCGCGTCTAATGTAACCGTTGTCGTCAGCCCACCTAAGTACAGTGACTCAATTACTGCTTTCATAGCATTACTTGCCTAGACGATGCTGGTCGATGCCTCTTAAATTCTCATCAGTACATCGCTGACGTCACTTCAAGGTACGACTACTGCGCTATAGCAACTATGGAAATAGATCGTGTTCATAAAAATAATCATGTTGTTTCGATGTTTAAAGTAAGGTATTTAAGAAGTCCACTTTTATCCCATGTTTTGGATGGTCACACAGAGTATGCTGTTGGCGAACACAACGAGTCAAGAATTCCCAAACAAAAGATCGGATCACTAAGGACCGGTGTTTATTTTATGTATGTAAATGTATATATATATGCTCACAATTTCAGCTTAGTGCTTCTAGGGCTCAGTACATTTTCACATTATGTTTCAATTCAGTAACCATGGAAATAGGACTGATTTAACAGCTGCTTATCTTCCCTGTCTCAAATATCCCCAAAGGGTCCGACTCCACAACAACATTTGCGAACCTCTCTGTACCTATTGCGCTCTTATCGCGATACAATTTACCATAGATCGATGGAGTGTTACGGCTGCACGTAAATGTTTCCTCTCAGTGTTACAGGAGGGTTGTTCTGTTTTTAAACGATAGACAAAACTGATGATCTCAAGACATCCCGTGTGGCCATGGTTCGACTTGAATCACTGTTATTCAGACATTATACCTACTCGATTTTGAGCCCTTGTGACGAAACTTATCAGTGGGGAAGCTGACTGCCAAAACCTTTAAGTCCATGAAAACATCTGATTTGTACGTGATCTATCAACGCTCATCCAACTGTAACAACCGACTCAGATTGTTGAGCAATTACAGTAGAGCTATTTTAGTATTACTGAAGAAATTCCCTTGTCCGGAAGGAAAATTTTGGCTGCAACAGCGTGCTGTCAATCGCGCACTACCCGGTTTCAACCGCTGGAATAATACATTTAAGAAACTTGAATTGTACGTGTTGCGGGTCTGTCAAAAAGCCCCTCAAATACGCGCCAGAAACCCCGGCAGAATGGCTGTGGAAAGCGAGGTCCAATTCCTCCCCACAACGCAACAGAGCTCCGCCACTCCGAGACGCGTCCCAACTACGCCCCTTTTGACAATGGCCTTTTACAAACTACCACCTCGTCATGGTAGAAAATTTCCATTACTTAATAACCCATAGCATCGGCTGTGATCGCCCTTTGTCGGTCGTAAAAGAGCCTACAGAGGACCACTTGCCTTTTCTTTCTCTTCGCCTCAGTTGGGAGTCGGTCGGGTCACGTGATTACGTGTGAGTCGTAGCTGGCCAGCCTTCGCGTCTAAGTCATTAGCGCGCGTCTATCATAACCCCCTCTCGTGTGCGTCCGTTTTCGAGGTCTCAGCGTCTATCCGAACAAGTGCGGCTAGGATCATTCACACGCTCGCTGAATTTTCCGTCACCGGCTAAGCTAGCGTCATCAGGTCAGCGCAACTCCGTTCGATTGGCCAGCGTTACAAGTCGTCATCTTAGGCGTACTCCAACCGTGCCAGCGACAACCTTACCAGGCAATTAGCTCAGAGGCGGCGTTCGCTCAATCATAACAGTGACGACGCAATTATAACAGTACGGAAGTCCAGGAAATGTTTGGCAAGTAGCTGATTTCCCCTATTACACTCCGCCACTCCGTTAAGCGATCGGAAGATTTGTAAGGCTCACTGTATTATTCATCTGGCACTAATTCCTTTTTCAACGCTGTTGGTGCAATGGGCTGACTGCGCATGTGGATCTAAAACTTAGCCGAATTCACTAACATAATTGGCCTTGTCTGCTCACTTCACCTGGCATATTCAGCCAAGTGTCTCTTACCCGATTACTCCAACGCTCACTTGGGTACTATGGGCCGCACCAATGTAAGTTCAAAAGTTACCTTTGGTAGAAACCAAAGTGAAAGTGGATGTGTAAAGTGGCGGGAAACAGAGGGGCTCCTTTTAACCTTACTCCCTGGGACTTTACGAAATCCTTCAGCATGGAATACTGTAAGCTAGGTGCGACAAAAGAGCATCCGCAAAGCGCGGCTGCCAAATTCGCAATCAAACATATATAGACACTATATTGGCTCAGCTTTAATTGTAGAGTAAACAGTGAATCACCACTGGCAATAATTCGAATTGCCGGTTACTTGGCGTGTAGGTTTAGACGCTGAGTTTTGCATTAGATTTAACTGTTGGTTTAGAGATCTTTCAGCACCAATCGAGTGGACAGAGTCAACCTATGGCAGTAGTAAGTAGCGGAACGATCCGGCTGTGGTTTCGCATGATCATTCGGATTCATTATCAAAGCTGTGTCTATGTCTAGGTATCGCCATTTGTCGCAAAAGATCTGTAACCAGTGTACCCAGCCGAGGCATAAAATAAAATCTGTCTACATACCGACACAGACCATGATCGGCCCACCGAAAGGTGTGGTTAGTTAGTACAAAAGTACTGAGAGACTTGCTTGCCAGCACTGAATGTATATTAAAAGATGATGCCTTAAGGCAAGATGAATTCTAGGCACACTGCGCCCAAGCTTATTATGCTCATTCATATTGATACATTCAGAACTGGCAGCCCCCAATCGTTCACAAAACCCAGCTTCTCAGCTAGCTGCCCTCTGTTTAAAAGTGAATTGATAGAACTATTATAAATCCTTATGCATACTGGGTACTCGACGTCCGTCACATAGTTCACTGTTGCTTTTTCGGTATACCAAACATGTGCACCCTTCAGATAGTGGCTTCAGGGAACATCTCTTTCTATTTCGATAGTCTTCTTTATCCTTTTGGGATGCATTGGCTCAACATACGGTTGATCTCAACAGGCCGTCGAAGCTGAGGACTTGACGTTAGCCCACGAAGCGAAAGCATGTATTCCAGCCGTCAGTACGTTCCAATGAGCTGCGGTTATTTGTTCTCATAGCATAATGCGGGTAGTGATCAATATATTATAGAGTAAATGAAAGACAGTACCATAACTTGAGGACATCGATAATGTATTCTGTAACAGTGAGTTAATCACTTACGCAGCCAGGTGACCTTTACGACCAATTCCAGACCCGTACATTCGCGTCATTCTTTGGGCCCGCTCTTCAGAGTGCATTATAGTGGTCAACAAAGTTGGTAGGACACCAGATGGTGATGTATGCTTCGTGTTGTCTTCTAAATTGCGGACCATATGCCGCCCACACAGGTGCGACATCGACCACCTGTTGATCTTGCGGTTTGTCAGCACGATGTAAAAATCGGAAGTGAAATGTTCCTATTCGCAGTGTGTGCGTCTTGATCCACGTTTCGGTAAAGCCACCGGTGTTTTGTATCAGCATAAAGATTTTCGCCACTATTTTGAGAACGCCGGTGAGAGTTCAGGGAAAGCGGATAAACATTTTTCTAAGTTTCCAAGAACTAACTAAGGGGATAGTCTTGGTCACCTAAATAATTAACTACGTTCCAAAGCTAAATGCACACGCATTAACAGACGACCATAAAACCGGTTGACGCATTGTTTACAAGGCCGTATTAGAATTCACAGTTTCTTGCCAGATATCAAGATAAGTGACAAAATTCCGAAGTCATGCGAACTCAAGAACAAATGCGTTATCGCGGAGCTACTGATGAGAGCTAACTGTGTGGACCTACTCTGAAGTGGTGTACGAATACAGTGCTAATGGGATCAACGCGGTCACAATTTTTCGTTCAGTCAAGTGACCATTCTCTGAGTTTCGTGATCTTAACCCCGTAAGATTAACTCTTACTGGCTTATTTTGAAGTCGTATTGGTACTCATTCTGAATATGTGGTTATCCAAATATATACTATATGTACACTTACACTGAAGACTACTCTTTGACTCGTTTTTAGTTCAGAGTTCAAATTTTATTGACGCTTGAATTTCTTTTACACAGGACGGAACGTCTCGTTGCCTCTGCCGACCAGGATACCAACTAGCAGAAGACGGACGTTCGTGTAAACTCAGCGAAGAGTGTGTTCAACCGTGCCAGAACGGCGGTCAATGCTTCCGTGGTCAGTGTTTGTGTAAATCCGGTTTCGAGGGCCTCCACTGTGAAAGAGACAAGGACGAATGTGCTCTTCCAGCTGCCGTGCACGGATGCACCTATGAATGTCGCAACACGTTTGGTTCATACGAATGTGTATGCCCAGACGGATATAATCGATTGGCCGACAAAAGAACATGTGTGGTAAGTGTCCTTTCGCTTCTTACTGAGTACTTTCTTTAAAATACACAGACTGAAACAAATTTTTCACTCAGGAACTCAAGGTATTCCTCTTTTTCTCGCATCGAGCTAAAACCAGAAAGGGTAAGAACACCCCAGCTGATTAATGCTTTGGTCAAAGTGTTTTGGACCGGAGTTTGACCAGTAACAACAAAACCACTTTAAAGAAAACAACAGGGCAACAATTTTAGTAACGGCCGCAACCATGGTTCGAAGCATCTGGTTCCGGATTTGCTTGTCACTGCGGCCTCCATAACAGAGCCACAGGACACGCTTGCACTGCATCACACACAGCCAAATCCACACACCCATATCTAGTGTAAACCGGAAAGAATAAGACCGGGAGGCATGTAGATGGGAGCCACGTATCATTAACGGAGCCGGCCAACAATCTTTGAGCACGTGCATCAGCAGTATTCTAGTCACTTTACTTTTGTAATAACGCGTACGAGACTTATACAAGGCGGTGGCTGGGCCGTAATCCACGCTTCACTGGATGGAACCACACTTTGAATCTAGCAGGGTCACGTGAAATGAGCGCGTCTTCTCCACTAGCTACGACCAACCTTTTCATGGAGCCAGTATAATCGAGGCAGCGGATTTTCGACAGGTTGGGACCTTGTCAGCATTCACATCAAGCGTAGCCACACCAGGAATATCAAAGAACCAACACAGTTTGAAGGAAAAGAAACACGCAAAATTGACACGGAACATGTAGCAGAATAAGTGAACACATCCAAAAAGGTTGCATATTTATATGCAGCTTAAAATGACTTAGTTTAAGTGTACGTCGTTGTAGTCCAGCTGCGGTGCCGGAACATGAGGTATGCAACATTAACCTTAGCATGAGGCACTTAACCATACAAAATAACATGTTAACAACGGAGCCAGTAGTTATAACTGAACCCTTCCCATATGTGCACTCGTTTTGGCAGGCCCCTCGGTGTTTGTTACCAACTGTCGCATTCAGTTGGCAATCGTCGAAGATGCTGGGAAATATCGGTTCCAATCCAGTACATCTACCGGATCAGATATGCCTGTGTAGAGAAATAGCATGCTAAGGTATGATTGCACTCATGGACTTACCATCATAGTATTTCTCAGCAGGGTTCTATGCAAAAAGGTGAACAACAGAGTAAGCACCATATTCCACGAACCAATGGGTTAGATGGTGTATTGTGACACCTAACCTGACCACAAGGCAGCACTTCAGACATTTTGTATGTGTGTGATAAAAAATGACATTTTCTTCTGTTAAGGTTTGTCACCATGCTTTTCGTAGCACCCAGGACTAATTCCACTTTACTCTATTCAACCTTAATGAACTGCTGTTAAAATAGACGTCACGCGTTGACGTTGCATAACTTTTGTGTCAAAAGCAATAAAGGCAATTATTCATATGTTGGTATCGCAAGGTTACGACAAGGCACAAACAGCCGCGTCATCCACAATAACCGTTTTCGAAAATCAAGACAAAATTGCCGTGTTAAATATCAAATCAAATAGGGCAAAACTATGTAATAGCGCAGCTTTTGCAAAGTATTAAAAATAACCTGTGTTCGTAGGGCATCGCAACCAGCATCTACGTACGTACACACTCCTTGTACACAAGCTAATAACGACAGAAGGTGTATAAAAATCAGTTCGATAAAAAATTTACAAATGCGAGAATGAAAATATTCGGCAAGCGGTAAGTCCGCATTGTCTTCACATGCTTTCCTTGCCACTGTTAAATGACCTGCGTGGACAACCTCAAACTGGCATGATGCAAATAAGTATGACAGTATATGACTTAGGATGTCGTATGCAACAGCCACCATCCAGAAATCCATTTATGATACAGGGCGTTACTAAATAAATGTAAAGAATGGTCATCTCGAAGAAAACATTTAACAACGCTATGGCATGTAATGCCATGCGAAAATCCGTCGACGAACAAATATGTGGGCGCAACCAGCGAAAGAAGACATCTTTGATAATGGGAGAAGAGCAAAAGTCTAGCCCAGAATACAAAACAAGTATGGAATCCGCCGGACCCATTGCTAACATACAACAAAAAATGTTCACGTCGCAGAGAATGAAGCATTCAATCGCATGGATAATTGGACTGCCGAGCTTGATAAAATGGTTGCGTACGTTTTGTCACCACGCATAGTGGTATCGCTAGTGTGGTGATGTACGGTGAACAATGGGGCTGATTAACTCATCTATCCGTGATCGACGAGCTGGGAAATTTTAAATGTGACATAATCGATTTGCGCCCCGTGATCTCGGCCAATTCTCTCCGGTGGCCGAAACAGTCGCTCGAGTTAATCGTCGCGTACGTCGTTCCGAGCTCCGCCATTCGCTTCGCCGGAGATCTTTCTTTCTGGATTGTTGGTACACTGGGTCGACATCAATGCACATGCTGATCGAATCATTAGAGGAGAACCAACCTAGAAATTTCTTTCTTTTTGTGCTTTACTCATGGCCAGAATCTCTGTTCTATGCCAGTTGAAGCTATGCCGCTCCTCATCCACGTGTGCTGAGACCAGAGAAGAGGCACTATGCTTTTGCTAAACACTTTGATCTCCTCTTATCCCTGCCGCTATTTTACTTCCTGTCTGTCTCACACATTTTCTTTTCACAAGTATTGCAAATCAGTTTATACACGACGTTAGTGTGCTTTTGTGATTTCCGCTTGTTCTTGGGGTTTGACAAAGTGGCTTCTTAAAGTGGCTATTGACTTGTGCGCAACCATGATATAACGTCGTTTGAATAAGCTAGCCGTGACTTCGGATAGGTTCTTCATTTGCTCTACTCTATCAATTGCTGATTTCGACGAAACGTTAGACAAGTGTTTCACTAACATTCGCAACCATCGTTTTCAATTAGTTCGAATAATTCCGGGCATGCAACGCTCCAGTCCACTCGTCTTTCGAAGGAGATTGCGTACCATCCAGCGTCTACATTGCAACAGCTAAAGCACACAAATGGTTCATGAGGAAGGATACTTTGCTTCGATTTCACCGCTTCATTCACATATGTCAAGTTGCAGCTGGCGAAAGAACTCACTACAGAAATCCTGAACAAGAAAGTTGAGAATATGACGACTGCATGTATTAGTAAGATTTTCCAACTATGTCTCACGAGTTGCCTCACTTTCAACTGAGAGATCTGTGATCAAACGAAAGCGGCACCGATTGAATCCCCGAGTATCAGGACGGACCGCTGAGTTCGTCATGCAAAAGTTGGAACCAGACCTACGGCCGAATGTTTACCCAAATTGAGAACCCGCAAATTCGACGATGCAATTGTGGCCCTCATACCCATTGAAATAGCTGTCGCACACCGACGATTCCCAAATGCGAGGGATAGGATTCATTTTGCAATTGATTTGGAGACTGGAGGTATTGTTGATTAGAACAATGGGAGTGAAGTTCAAATATCCGTTCACAGGGATGGCACACATTAGGACCGGATTTTGAACCTCAGCCGTAACCACAAAATCTGCCACAAAATTAGCTGTTGTATGGTCACTATTTCGCAGATTGAAACACACTGCAGTAGTGCGGAAACGAAAAGAGAAGGAGAGAAACACTAATTCAATTCATTTGGGCGAACTGGATACTGGATACCAACGCAGCTCCATCCACAGACGATTAAAACTAAAGCCTAAAAACACCAAGTGGACGCCAAAAACTCGTGGATCACTTCGCCGTATATGAAGAACCTATTCGAAGTCACGGCTAGCTTATTCAAACGACGTTATATCATGGTTGCGCACAAGCCAATAGCCACTTTAAGAAGCCACTTTGTCAAACCCCAAGAACAAGCGGAAATCACAAAAGCACACCAACATCGTGTATAAACTGATTTGCAATACTTGTGAAAAGAAAAAGTGTGTGACAGACAGGAAGTAAAATAGCGACAGGGATAAGAGGAGATCGAAGTGTTTACCAAAAGCATAGTGCCTCTTCTCTGGTCTCAGCACACGTGGATGAGGAGGGGCATAGCTTCAACTGGCATAGAACAGAGATTCTGGCCATGAGTAAAGCACAAAAAGAAAGAAACTTTAGGTTAGTTCTTCTCTAATGATTCGATCAGCATGTGCATTGATGTCGACCCAGTGTACCAACAATCCAGAAAGAAAGATCTCCGGCGAAGCGAATGGCGGAGCTCGGAACGACGTACGCGACGATTAACTCGAGCGACTGTTTCGGCCACCGGAGAGAATTGGCCGAGATCACGGGGCGCAAATCGATTATGCCACATTTAAAATTTCCCAGCTCGTCGATCACGGATAGATGAGTTAATCAGCCCCATTGTTCACTGTACATCACCACACTAGCGATACCACTATGCGTGGTGACAAAACGTACGCAACCATTTTATCAAACTCGGGCATCCTACTGTATCATCGGACAGTCTTCCGTCGCTACCAATTTTGTAATTTTTATTATTATTCCATCTTCCACGCAGAGCAGTCGCTTATGATGCGCAGTTCTCATAGACTGGTTTGTCCTTACTTTATTTGACGTTTTATGGTTCACATGAACTCTCCTAATGCCAATGCTACCTTAACTATTTTTCTCGCTATTTGTTTGAAAAAATTCTATGATTCCACGCGACTTTGCCTCACGTAACCGGGTGGCACGGGAACATTTTTGGCCTTTGTGATGGAGAGGGCTATTTTACCACCCAGATTTTTGGAGCATACTTCTTGTTGAATCCCATCATGGTGGTGTTGACGGTTTTGGACTATGATGAACAGAATGCTCACCTCCATCGTTAGAGATGTTGTATACCGCGTAATGAAATCGGGATGCTGGTGGACGCTGAATACTGAACGCTGAGCATCCTGTTTTGAGATAAAATAAATGAGGCTTATGCGCAGCTTCGAACTATGATTAAATCATTTGGAAATATAAAAATCATATGCCACATTTTAATACAGTGATCGAATTTCAAGCCCTCTCCTGATG